TAAAGCATATTTTTTTATTGATTTTTATGTTATTATATTTTAAAAAGTGTCCACAATATTCTGGGAGGCCACTGTAGATGACAAGATTCTTAAAAATCTATATAATAGTGATCATTTGAAACTCTATCTTGAAGATAATAGACTGGAATCTAGAATTATCATAGAAAATTAAATATTTCTAGCTCTGACAAATCAGACTTTAATACTGATAAGTTATGGCTTTTATTAGTATAAAGAACTAATTAAATAAAAGCAAAACTCTATTAATTTTATAGTAAATTAAATAATTAATATATCTGCTTAAAATCTCATCATCTTGTTAGTAGAAGAATATTATTACCTTAAAAGTTATCACCTAAAGTATACTAATCATGACAAATTCTTTAAAGTACCACATATTTGCAGCTCTAAATATTAGGATAACTCTTCTTATCAATGCTATCAATATTTAGAAGTTAAGAAAATTATTTTAACTGAAAATTGATTAGAACAATAATATTAAGACCACCAGTATAGTTTACAAAATTATCACTATCATTAATATAGAAATAGAAAAAGAATAAATCATAAAGATTATAAAGTATGCTTCATCAATAATAAAAAAGAAAAGTTTATTATCAGTCTTACAGAAGAAGATGAAGAAGAAATTGCTCATTCATCACAAATTAATTTTCAAAAAGAAAAAGAAATTCTACCTCTTGATACAAGGAAAGAATGAGAAATTTCTCACTTTATTACTTATCTTGGATACTATTGAAATATAAATGAGGAATTATATTTTCTTATATCCTCTTGAAAACATATTGAATTGAAAAAAGAGGAATTTCTTTCTTATTCTCCACAATATTTGAAAAGTCTGACATTACTTTACAAAATATATAGTTCTGATTTCAGTAGTTATAATTTGACTTCAGAAAGTGCCAGAACTAATTGACATTTAAAATATGAAGTCATCTAACCTGTTGATTATTAGTCAGATGATCAAGAATGTAATAAAAACAAAAGTGACTTACCTTCTATCTAAGAAGTCAAGAAAAATAATAATAAAGCTAATAATAAGATTACTAACAAATAGGAATAGATCATAACTAATATCTTATAGATGTTAATAGCTAACAGAAATAAAAGTAATAAGAAAAATGATAATATAATATTATAATTATCTCTCACTTTCTTAGATTCTCAAAATTTTAAGTTTTAAAAATGAAAGGAAATTTAATATTATTCTTATTATCCAAATCATCATTCTTATAATAATCAAATAATATAACAATAATAATCATAGCTTAACAAACAGGATGGATAGAAAGAAATATTAGTTTTTCAAAGATATGACATTTTCTAACATATTAATGAGATAAAAGAAAAATAAAAGGCAAATAATAATAATAATAGAATGATGTTATTATCATCATTAAGCTGGCAAAATTTATAAAAAAATCACATTGATAACATTGAAATAAATAATAAAGAAATATAGTTTCATTATAAAAATAAAAGAGAAATTAATAGTAAAATAATAAATAAATATAAAAATGAAATTAATATAGAGAATACTAATAGAAATTATATGGTTGTATAATTATCTGATGTAATATAAGATTACACTAATTCCTGAATCTGCAGTAATATGACCAAAATTATAGAATTACACACTATAATATAGAAATTAGGCATAAAAATTAGCTCATATTATAATTCTATTTATCTGGAAAACTCTCTTTCATATAATCTTTCTGAAAATATATTAATCTAGAACTTTTGTAATTCAAATTAATCATATTATATTATTCTTTAATTTATTATATTTATCTTGTATCATACTTATTTATAGAACATTATTTATTATAAATAATTCCTATTTATTTAATTAATAGAATTTATTTTTTTTATTATTTTATCCAAACTCTTTTAAAAATATTACTACTTTGCAAATCCAGAATAAAAGTTACCTTGAATGATATTATATTGAAAATAGTAACAGCAATATTTTCCAACAGAAATATAAATTTTAATATGCTCTGAACTGATCAAGAAATAATTAACGCTATAATAAGTACAGATTCAACCAGAGAAAAACTATTTCTTTATTATAAACTTAGTCATATTATGACTGAAAATATATCATCATGGCATTGAAAGATTATTAGTAGAACTAGTAGATTATTTTAACATATCTCAGAACAATTAATTCTAAGTTATCATCAATAAAACTTGAAAGAATGACAAATGATGACTTTGAAGAACTATTAAGCTTAGTAGAAATCTGACATTTAGCTTTAAATTTTGCAGAGCAAAATGCTAATGAAGAGAATTCTGTTGTAATATGAACTTTTAGTAAAATATTAGTTATATATTATTGATCACTTCATATCATAATATGATTGAATGAATAATTCTTTATATTTTATTGGATATTAGCTTTAGAGAATATAATAAAATCCCGAAATACAGAAATATACATGCAAAAGTAAACACGATTATGTATGCGAAATCGAGCCACTAGGGCCAGCTTTATTGATAATTGTCAAATCAAATGTTAAGTCTTTTAAAATGTGATTATACCGCCGTATATTTTTTATTATTAATAATATTACATGCTAAAAATATTAGATTAAAACATTCCTCTTATTCGATACACTTCCCTTACTAAACTAATATTACTATTTAATATCCATTAATCTTATAATAAATTTGTTTTCCGAAAAGTTTGCTTCAACATAAAAAGGTCATGGTTTGTTGTAACTAGTTTCCCATCTTCCGCTCCATCTGGCCATTGAATGTTTTTATGATTCATAAAGTGAGAATAATACGCAGAACCAGCCTTCCCAGACCATTCAAAATCGATCAATTTCACGTCAAAATCGTTATCTTCAAGTCGACTAACCAGAATATTTCCTTCACGCAAGTCTCCATGCACATGTCCCAAATTATGCAAATACTCTACCATTTTTTCGATTTTCTCTCTTAAATGATTCCGTTCTTGATCATTAAGATTAAAGGCGACGCGATTTAACATTGAATGATTGTCCAGGTATTCGATATAAACCAAAAGCCAATTTCCGGGAATAATTGAACTAGCAAGGACTTTTGGAGCATATCCAACTTCTGATAAGAGCTGATGTGTATCAAGTGAATATTTATGCTTTTGAACAGCTTTTACACAGGCTTTTTTAGGTCCTTGTTCATTAAAGAGTGTTACTTCCCAAAGAAGATAATTGCCAACTTGGGAAATAATCTTAACGCTATAACTTTCACCGCTAATCGTCACATCGGGAAATGATGGATGCACAGGATGGTCTGTTTGAGGTATGTTTTGAACCAATTTTTCGACTTGATCATAGTATTGATCAAGAATTTGGAGAGATTTCTTCAAAGCACGAAATGCTCTAGAAATTGATAACATCATTTCGTCATGTTTCTGCCAGATAAGGGGAAAAACCGGGGTAAGTGGGTCAACAATAGCAACATCTGCAAGCACGGCACCGGAAATTGAAAAATAAGGCCCTAAAGCGTAATCAAGTCAGTCGAAAATTCAGAAAAAAAAATATATATCAAGTTGAATTTCTACAATACCTGCAATTGTAACTAAAAAGCATGGAAAATTAGTCACACAAAATGAGGGGCTATTTTCTCGTTCCTTGCAGAAAACTAAATAATAGCTACAATTTTGTAGATAAGGAGAGGCATCGGAGTTACAGTCATCACACTTATACTCGAAATTAGCCTCACGGTACTTAGAATGGGACACAGTGCCGTCAGTATGAGCACCATGAATCGTAAGTAATTCCATAGGGTGATCGAGATAAACTTTTAACATTTTATTTGCCACTTTTTGGTGATCTTCCTCTTTCCCATAAAATTTGGCCATTTCATAGCAAATCTTATACGTGAATTCATTGTCTTTCTTTTCTGGATCTTCCTCACAGAAATCTTTAAATTTTCCAAAAATAGAATTATACAAGCTAACAGGTATAGTATTAGAAGCCTCTGGTGGACGGTGATTAAGACAAATAGGATCACCTCTCTGTCGCTTGAACCATTCCTTAGGAATTCCAAGCGTCGATGGTGCTGGCAATTCATCTATCCTTTCCATGTATGATCTTTTAACACCTGCAGAGCAAGATTATGTAAGTTTAGTTTGTTTGTGAGTTGAAATATCGTACCTTTCTTTAAACCAAGAATTCTGACTGGATTATTAACAGAACACTTGTGTTTTTCAATGAAATCGACAAAGTTCTTTTTCGACCAGCTAAAATCTATATTTTTATTGCTAATAACAAACTTATAATCTATCAATGAGCCTTTAAGACCGAAAGCTTCTTTCAAACCGGCATATAACTGAATAAAATCTGCCCAACTATCGGTACTAAGTTTTATGGTTTGTAATTCAAGGTACTGGAAGTATATAGCAACTAAAAAATAAAATTATTAGTCAACGTAACGATAAGTAAAATGTTCTCAATGAATGATACCTACCTTCTTCTTTAACCTTAGAAGCTTGTAGAATTGCTAGCCTTTCTCTCAATTTTTGTACCTCCTGATTTGATGCAGTCGTAGCTAATAATAAGAATAAATGTATGAAGCACAGTTAATAAATAAATGAAATTATTGCGGAGAAAGCAGTATAGGTTTAGAATATTCGAATGCAGTCGTGGTACTACTTACCCTGTCCTTCGCCCTTAATTTTTTCGATCAATTCAGCAATGGTTTCAGCTGGCCCTCCTTTTAAACCATAGCTCATGAGTTTATCCACATTCAACCTAAGAAAACTCCGGCCTTTAATTTCTTGTTCACGAAGAATATTGAAATGCTTATCATCAAGTCCTAAGTCTTGCTTGCGTAAAAAATTTATCAGATCCTCCGTTGTCTTATATCCTTCAACTTCGTTGATTGTAGGAAGTGAAATTTTTTTTCCAGTAGAAGTAGACATATTCACGAAAAATTTTTTTAGTAAGAAATAGTCGTACATTCTACCTTTTTATAGTTTATACATACATAATTTCATGTGATTCCGAATAATATAACATAACAATACCGTGACATATATTTTTTAATAAATCGCGAAATCGGGGTCAATTATGTTTTTTCCATTCAGAAGATAATATATTACTTAAATGATGCTTATTTTCAGATAAATATTATAGATATTCAAGAAATTATCCAGAAATAAGCATCATCTTCTATTTTAGAATCTGAAAAATATCAGTTAAGTAATGCTCATTTTTAGGAGAATATAATAATCTGTTATATAAATAATGTAAAATAAAGATCTAAAAATTATTATTATTATTTTTTGCAAAAAAATAAATAAGCTTTATTTTCAATTATTAATTAATCAATAATTGATATTATTATTATGATTATCTGTTAATCAGCTAATTATTATTTATCATATATATTTTTCATATGATCTGAATTCGGATTGAATCCAAAATCACATGATACTACCCGGCTTTAGTGGATCCTCACTAATTGATATAAATTAATATGATAAATTTATTATTCTAAATATGATGAAAAACGGGATCATGATGGAAATTTTAACCAGAATTATGCAGATCGCGCATATCATTTGGCCAGAATTATCACGTAAAAATTAAATCAATAAATACTATTGATATATCACATATTGTGATAATTATTGTGATATTTTATTTTAACCTGTCACAATAATTGGTTCCAACTCAAAAAAAGCGTTTGATTTGAATAAACGCCTAGTGGTTTGTTGGTGGTCTAAGACAGGGTAGAAGGATATTATAATTATTTGTAAGTGCTTGCACGATTAGAAGAAACTTTCAAAAAAGTATCACCAATTGGGAGATATACATTTCAAGATGAACGTTCTATATTTAAATATTTACTTGTTTTCAGGAAAAACATTATTCACAAAAGTTGTCGAGAACAAATAAATGATTATGTTGGAGATTTCTGCAATTTTTATATTTGGTATAGATAGAATTAATAATAATATACATTTGGGTATTCCGCCTTTATTTTTTTTACAAAACTACATTTTAGCTGGATCTTTTTTGTATCTTTCCTATGATCATTCATTGTTTTAAATATTCTATTGCCAGAGCAATTTTGCGCAAACCTTTGTCCATTGGCGAGCTCTTTCACTAGATCTTATAAAATTTGTCCTAATGGCGTTGTTTGGTGATAGATGTTGACACATAAGATCCTTGAAAAGCATGTCAACTAACGTCGCCATATGAAGTCACTCCGTCAACAACACTTTTCTCGCAATTATCGCTTCCCAATTAACCAAAGTCCTTGAAACCAGCAATGATGCGGGTAAAAAATAACAACAAAATGTCAAACCAATCACAAAATTGAGAATTGACATGGTGAAAAATGTGATTGACACCGCGAATTTTATTGTGGTGAAGTATAGAATGCTGCGTAAAGTGAATTCGTCGCTAAGTAGAAAGAAAAAATGCGTAATGGCATTTTGTGAAGTGTGGGATGTAAGGCGATGGGTTATTGAAGGAAGATATGCGCGTTCTGTGGCGCGATCTGTTATTGAGTTTAGTATTGAAAGTTCTACGCGAGCTAGCATTCTAATTATTTATGAAATAATTAATTTATCTGTCTGGAAGAAAAAAAAGGAAAAATAACATAAAAATTAAAATTACCTCCAACTGTAAACTGACCCTAACAGAAGCACATATCCAACTGGTGGGATAATCAACAACACAACACCAGTAACAAGAGTTCCAATCACCCAACTAAAACAAAAACAAGCATACGACAAATCCCAAAGCAACAAATAAATTAATGCCAGCCAATTTCGCGCCACAAAAACCGGCGCAAGAAAAGAATGTTGTGTGTGAGAATATAAATCACTAGGAATATATTGGACGGAATAGTATCTTGCACTTGCATTTGGTCCGTCAGGAGGTGGAATCGTGAATGAAGAATATGCTGTGCTGGTAGCAAGTGCTTCTTCATAACTAGGTGGAGCTTCTTCTTCATGAATGTTATTTGTATTCTCTTCTAATAATTCTGGTATTAATATTGACGTACTGGCTTCTGATTGTTGTTGAGACTGTAAGGCTGGTGCAGAAAGTAACTGCTGTTGCTGTTGTTGTTCTGACGTCTGTTGAGTCTGTTGAGTCTGTTTACCTATTTGTGTCATTTTGTAAACCGCGAACAATTAATATATTACCGATTATTCTGATAAAAGAAAAATCACTAATTAGAGAAATTAGAAGGAAAATTTCATTGGTGTTATCGTTAAACATGAAATTTAAGTGATAGCGATAGCCATTTTAACAAATCTTGGTTACATTAGATTATTAAAAATTAACATAAATTCTATGAGTCAAAACTTGAATTTAGAAGATATACTTTTGAAATCGAGATGTGATTTTGATTATGTAAATAGAAAAAGTTATGTTTCTATCTATCGATAAAAGTTTTTATGATTAAAAAGAAATAATGCATCTAAAACTACAAAATATCCCATTATAATTATACATTAATATAAAACAACTAAAATATACTGATATAAATCAATCAATTTTTTTTGTTATTATGTGCAGTTCTCGTCGACCTATGCGGTACATATCCACCGCTTGAACTCCCACCACTCACACTACCACTACCACTACCACTCACACTTCCACTCCCAACACGTGCATGATGACGTTTGGATTGTTTATTAATTGAATTATCAATACTACTGTTACTACTATGATGCCGTGGACCAGCCGACGTAGGAATTTCAATTGAGCTAGAGCGCGAATGTTCGCGTGAACCTCTTCTTTCTCGTTGAGATCGATCATGTTGAGCAAATGGAGGACGCGGTGGCTGATCAAGTATCGAATCACGATTGTTTTGCCTTGCGGCTGCTTCTCGTGCCGTTTGTTGTGCATAGTATGTATCACGTCGTGGAGATCCATAACGAGGAGATCCACCACCATCCTGACGATGGCGTGATTGCCGGCTTGAAGAGGAATTTGTCGGTGATGGTGATGCAGGTAGAGAATTGATAACTGATTGACGAATTCTTTGTTGTGCTTGTTGTTGTAGACCTACGGGTATAGTATCACCTATTGCAATATCATCATCATCATCACCATCTTCTTCGGTGTCATCAGCTTCTCGGCGATTGCGCTCAGGGACTGGCGAAGGAGTGTTTGTTCTTAATGCAGGAATCGGCGAAGGAACTGTCGTTCTTGGATCTATGTGCGGGCTCGATAGTCCAATGTCACTTGTTTTACTAAGAAAATTATCTTCAAGTTTATTTCCGGTATCATCGGTACTCTTCAAATATGTGAACGGATCTTTCTCTTGAATTTCTTCTGGAAAATCCGTAGGGGACACTTCTTCCGAATCCAGTTCTGTATTAGAAACGTTATCACGAGATCTACTGGTCAGTGGCATTGAACTCTCATTTGTATTCATTGATTCATAAGATTCTGCCATGCTGTATTGACTTTTACGTAGCATACCGGTGTCCATGAATTGTGGCGGTGGTAGCCCTTTGGCTTTCGCTTCCTTGAATCGTCGTTCCCGTTCAAATTCAACCCATCGTTTCATTACAATTTTGGAACTATCGAACTCGCCTTCTTTCGTCGAATGGTCACCTTTTCCTTTGTCACCTTCGACTTGGCGAGTCGCGCCCCACGTGAAATCGTCAAAATGCCAGTAGGCGTAAACTGGTAAGAGGAAATTCCAAATTGGCAAGGAGAATAGGTATATTAACATCCATCCTACGTAAACAATTTTTCGGCTAGTCATGAGAATTAAAATAGCAGGTAAACCCAAAATTGCAGCAAGAAGCAATAATGGGATGATTGGCGGGGGTTTGATGAAGAAGGAAATTACGATGAGGTAAACAGTGAAACTGATAGCAGCCGGAAGTACGACTGTACCAACCAGTTCCATGAATATGACAAATTGCATGGAGAAGCAGAATGTCCCACACAGATCTCTAACTAACACTAGTTCCATTAAATTATGTACAGTGGAATTAATCCACCGACGGCGCTGCGAAAGTAAAACCTTGAATGAGTCAGGAACAATAGTTTTACAAACCGCTTGCGGAACGAATATCATTTTTCTTTTTGGAAAGGTACGTAACATTAAAGTTGTTAAGAAACGATCTTCACCCAGCAAGTAAAGATTTTTCTTATGCAAGGTATCAACAATGTTCTCAGAGTAATGCTCAACGATATCGTGAGCAGCTAAGATTGGTACCCAGAATCCGTCTCTTTTCGGCGCTTTAATCCGATACATACAGAAACATCCAGGTAAACAAGTTACACCACCAAATATAGATTCAAAAGCCTTACTTTGATGATGTGAAATATAATATTCAAAAACTATTTGTGCAAATAATAAAATTTGATTAGGTGAATTTTGATCATTAGATAATTATAATAAATAAAAATAAAAAACAATACCTTGAATCATTGTCCAAAAGCTATCAGTCTTGTTAGCAATTTTAGTTTCTCCACAGAGACCCATAATGTCGTAGTCACGTGTCATACAAGAGACCATACGAGAAAGAGAATCTGGATATACTTTAGTGTCAGCGTCCACCTAATTAAATAAAATTATAGTTTATTAAAATTTAATCCATTAAATTCCCCAAGTAATTTCAAAATACTCACCATCAACACGATCTCATATTTGTCAGGAGTAACACCTGTGACTCGCCATATCGAATTAAAAAATTCATATTCAAATGGTGTCATCCGTTCATCAAACATGACTTTTTGTAGAAAACTCATTAAAATAATTTGGGAATCTCGTTTTCCTCGATTACCCGGTTTTGTGGAATTTTGTTCTTCTGGAGTACCACATTTAACCACCACAACCATTGGAACACGCTGCTGCTTACTAACTTCAACTATGCTATCATCATACTTGTAAAAACCAGCGTATACTTTTGCCATATTATGACGTTTAGTACCATCAGCAATTGCGACATAGGAATTAGGTTCAACTTCTTCAGGTGGCACCACAAATTCATGCATGAGAGAGAGTAAAATTTCAGGCGTTGATTGTGTATTACCACCACCAGTTATAATACCATCAGCAATTACTAGAATTAATTTATGAGAATTTGGATAGTCTGTTGTGGCCACGGAATCTAATGTGCTTCGAAGTCCTTGTTCTGATTCCGAATAGGCTGTGACTAAACAAATAGTATGGGCTAGTGGGAAATCCCAAGGCTGATAGTCGGGTGATGGTTGTGGTACTACATTAGCATTAGGGAAAGGACAATTTCCAAGAGATTCTCTACTCCCTGTAGCTAATGAATTGGCTATTGGAAATTCTTCCCTAGTAGCAGTCAGTGAACTTGAACTTTTATTTTTGTTAGGATCGGTTATTGGATTAACTGGTGTTAGTACCGAGGAACTTGAGCGACTTGGTCTTAATGTTGGACTAGTACCCGGTGATCCATTGGGTGATATGCGTGGTGTAGTTCCTCCATTGGGATGAAGAAGTGAACTTGGAGTGCCAGTAGGTTTTGATAAAGGAGAGCGACGACCATTATTGTATGCTCCAAAATTGCTCACTGGTCTTGAAGATGGAATTAAAGTGCTAGCTCGTCCATTTGGATAATTATTTGAAAAACGTGATGTCTTTGGAAAATAACGAGATTTACGATTTGGCAATGCTGCCGGCGTATTAATATCCTCGGACCATAATTCAATTTCGGCTGCACGTTTCATTCTTTCCTCGTATGATTCAGGTTTGAAAGAGCCTAGTCTCCATGATAAACACCAACCAAAAATGACGGCTAACACGAATTTTATCACCACAACACCCACGATAAAAGTGAGTGAGATATACAAAACAATGTCGGAAGCGATACAACCCATAGTTTTTGTGTCAATAGAGCCGATTTTTATCACATCAGTGAGACATTCAGCAACTTTTTTGTTTCCCGTGTTCAAAAACATCAAAGAAGCATCTTTTTTACGAAAATTGTTAGCTGGATTGGTCAAGTTTTGGAAAATTCTTGGAACATTAACTTGTTGAGAGTCGAGAAACTTTAATCTATCCAAATCAAGTACAAATCTACAGGAATGACATATAAAAATTAATCATTTTCGTATCGTTTACTTATAAATAATAAATATTATATACCCACCCATTATACACAGCCAGATTTCGATGTGGATTATTAATATCATCCCATGTATAGAATATTTCTCCACTTTTTTTCATTCTGAAATATGTGGATCGTGCCAGAGCACTAGTATGACAGCCCGCACCGGGATAAGGAGGATCCCAACTTCCGGTTGGTTGCGTAGATCCGTCTTGATTGACCATTACACAAGGGAAATACCATCCAACTTGTCCGTTTTGAACTGGTGCATCTGCACCTGGTTTAAGCGTGATAATTCCCTGGCATTTTTGATTTACTTTTTGAAATAAGAATGAAAGGTCTTGTCCACCAGCATTTATAGGTGCATACGGAAGGAGCACATCTGGCGGTATTGGTGGATCATAATTAGGCACACCCGGATGTTGATATTTTGATAGATCATAGGCAAACCCATTTATTATTGCACTGGCACTATCAACTCGACCTCCTCTTACACGAACTGGAGGAACACCACAGACCACTTGTGTAAAACCTATATTATGACGATGATGGTGCAAGAATTAATTAATAAAAACTTAGAGTATATAGATAAGCAAAAAATCAAATTTTCATACCAAAAGTTAGAAATGCCACACATGCACATAATAAAATAATAATGGTGATTAGACCAATCTTTTCTCGCCATGCACGTTGAACTTCCGGTCTCTTCATTCGACCTATTTATCATTATAATCATGACTCTATTATTTTTAATCTTTTCATAAAAAGTATCAAGATTGATTATATTCAATTTACCACATGTACTGAGAATAAAAGGAGGGGCGTAAAATGTCACAGCATAGCAAAAAATTATCCAACAAGTTGGCCATTCTTTACGCTTCTTTTCAGTTGATTGTTCTTTTGAACTTTTTTTTCTCTTTAATGAACGTTTTTTGGATTCCGCACGTCCTAATATATTGTGTCTGCGTTGTAGATCATCACCACCTCTTTCCAGTTCACTTGGATGCGTATTATGGGAATATTGCGAAGGATTTTGATTGACATGCTCTCGTCCCTCGTCTCTAGTATCCGCACCATTATGTGTCACGTTGTTGTGTGCTGTGGTGTGTACATTGTTGAATACTGAATCACGGAGTTGACTTGGTACCCTTGAAACTCGAACTTCCGATGCTGCTTTTATTGGTGCTGGTGGAGTTGAAGACATTTCGCTAATATTATTGTTCATTCAAAAAAAAGTTGTCTATACAACCACACACACAACCACGAAACCACGAGTAACGTTTTCACCTGGTACTTTGTGAAAGGTTTGTTACGACAGGTTTTTTCGTCTCTCTTTTTATTGTTTCAAGAAGATATTTTTGATTAGGTATTCGTGTCGTCGAAAGTAACTCGAGAAACGAATTTGAAAATTTGAAAACAATAAAGTAAGAGGATTGATGTATCAGATAGATGATATTGTTTTCTTCAAATAAGGGGGTTAAAGAAAACCTATCAAACCCTTATGTTACTATAAAAGGGTGTTCGAAATTAGAAGGAGAGGAGGCAAAAGCGCCTATTGAGGAAAGAAACACCAATAACGGCGAAAAATAAAGAATATGTTTTTTTTTTTTTACGAAAGAATAATGACAACGATTTATATTTTTTATTATTATATCTTTTTGATAAATTATCCTTATTTTTTCACGCTCCCTTCCAAAGAACCAAAAGAACTATAATTCTGTATTCATTAGTTAACACAAAATATATATGTTTACCTCAAGCATTACACATAATTTTTTCTAGCCTTTAACAGTTTATTCCAATCAGAAATTGCATGATTCTAAAAATAAAAAATAAAAAGGTTGACTGTTTAGGGAAAAAATTTTCCTGGAGATTCAAAAAGTAAGATTTTTATTAACTTAAATAGAAATAGAAAATCATTACATCACAGATTTATAAAATGTCAAAATTCCATTAACGTAGTCATGTTATAAACTTAAACTCCCGCAAATAAATGTTCCATTGAGATTCCATATTCGGAGTATACAAGAAACGGGGCAGATTGACTTTTTATCTTTTCGTCCTCCTTCCATTTCTTCACGCGATACTATCCCTGATCCCTGATCCCTGATCCCTGACCCCGAATTAACTATTTATTATTTGAAAAACAATATAAAATAAATCAGTAAATATTAAACACAGAATCTTTCCATCAACAATATTAATTAGTCTGAGCCTTTATGTTGTACATGCTCCATTTACGAATATGCAAAGAACAAAAAAATCGATTGTATGGCTGATCGAGGTTAAATTTGGTAAAATATCTAAATTGCATTTAGATATATTCCTTTCAGAAACTGTGAATACTCAAAAGTTTGTAACACACATTCTAAAAATATGGATCATTAAAAAGAAACCTTTTATGAAACGGAAAGATTTATTCAGGAAATCATTTTGTGGCTTGAATAAGAATTTTTTTGTGCATAATTTAATGTATTTACAAAAGGTCATTTTTTCTTTCGTGTAGTGACTAAGAATGAAAAAAACAACTTTTGTCTCTGATCGGCAAAAACATCATGCTAGAAAAAAATTTTAACGTATAGCACTACTTAAACTTGAGCCTTTTGAATGAAATTGCTAAATCTTGTGGCTTATTAAGGTTTGAACTTTGATTTACCCTTTATATTAAATAAAATAATTATCGTTATCAATTTATTTTAGTGGAGGAAACGCAATTAATTCGGCCCGGAACTTTTAGACGATTGTAAGATTTGAAAATATAAGCTTAATTACATTGTTACAATGTCCGTGTATTACCATAGTAATTTTTAACCAATGAAAACGAAAAGAATAATCACGTAATATTTAGATTTTATAAAAAGACCAATACTTTTTCTAAAGTTATTTGCTCCTTTTTACGATAATTCGATTTTTACGAAATAAAGAATGACATCATCAATTCCGCTTCGACCTCTTGGAAAAACAGGTGTAAATATCCCGTCAATTGGATTGGGATGTATGGTAATTATTTCTATTTTGACCTGGATTACATTAAAATTTACAATACCGGAATATCAAAATAAACATAGTAAAATACGAAATTTTCTCTACATATAAAAGTTTTTAATCTTATTAATAAATCCTTATTTTATATCAAAATAAAGACAATGACATGTAGTTTCGCATATTGTTTTTCAGATCCCTTGATCACTTTCTGAAAAATTGCTCTGATTGTAAAGTCACCGTAAATTTTTTTTCTAATTGAAATACAAATTAAAATACAAATTTAAGTAGAAAAAAAATTCACGGTGACTTTACAATCAGAGCAATTTTTCAGAAAGTGATCAAGGAATCTGAAAAAACAATATGTGAAAAAACACGTCATTGTCTTTATTTTGATATAAAATAGAAGGATTTATTAATAAGATTAAAAACTTTTATATGTAGAGAAAATTTCGTATTTTACTATGTTTATTTTGGTATTCCGGTAGGGGTGTGTTGGATAAAAGCTGAGTCAGTGCATATGGCTCCGTTGTAAAATATAAATCTTAGTCACTATATTTTTCAATAACAGGGAATGAGCGAATGCTATGGAGCATCTGATAATGATCATAGCTTGCAAGTATTGAGACGCTCCATTGAATTGGGAAGCTATCATTGGGACACTTCAGATACCTATGGAGTTGGCAAAAACGAAGTAATGATTTTGCTGGATCAAAAAAAAAAAGCAAATCATGATTAAATAACATTTTGCAAAAAAAAAAAAGGAATTATTATCACACATTTTAAGAGATCATAGGAAAGATGTACTTGCTACTAAATTCGGTTAATATCGAATTAAATTTAATTTTTTTGACAATTATGATGATAAACAACAATAAGACATTCGAGCTTTATTTGTTGATTAGCCATTATTCGCGATGAAAACGGAGCTCTTAAAGGTATACGAGGAGACGCACCATATGTTCGTGAAGCTTGTGAAAAAAGTCTGAAGCGATTAGGCACCGATTATATTGATCTTTATTACCAACACCGTGTCGATCCAAAAATGTATATTCATTTTACCTTTTAATCGATGCTTTTGTATTCAGAATGAATACTGAAAAAGTTCAAATATGTTCGCTAGACCAATTGAAGAAACTGTTGCTGCTATGGCTGAACTAGTCAAAGAGGGAAAAGTTAAGTATCTTGGACTTTCGGAATGTAGTGCTGATGAACTTCGACGGGCTTATAAAGTACATCCAATTGCTGCTTTACAGGTAAAAATCGTAGAATTAACGAGATTTTTAATATTATCTTTTTATTTATTATTGTTCTATTATTAGGTGGAGTATAGTCCATGGACTCTTGATATTGAGCAAAATGGAGTTCTTGAAGCGTGTCGCGAACTTGGTGTTACCATTGTAGCTTATAGTCCATTAGGGCGTGGTTTCTTGTCGGTAAGTTTAATTAATATAAACTGTATCATTTTTATTATGTCTTGCATTATTTAACATTATTATAGGGACAAATAAAATCCCTTGACGATTTGGCCAACGACGACTTTCGAAGACTAATTCCGCGTTTCCAAGGCGAAAATTTCGCGAAAAATCTCGAAATTGTACATCGCCTTGAGGAATTAAGCCGCAAGAAAGGAGTTACAAGCAGTCAACTTTGCTTAGCTTGGATTTTGGCTCAGGTAAAATGGGTGAATTAATTTTGCATTTTATACGATAGTAGTTATTGAATTTGTTGTAGGGAGAAGATTTTATTGTTATCCCGGGAACCAAAAAAATGAAGTAAGTATTTCAATTCATTCTTTCTATGTAATTTACTAGTCATTAATCTATTTTCTTATTAACAGATATCTCGAAGAAAATGTTAAAGCAGCAACTATTACTCTAACCACTGAAGAGATCAACGAAATACGATCTGCTATAAATGCTGTTGAAGTGATTGGGAATCGGGACCCAGACTTTATAGATGTAAGGGAAAAAAGACAAAGATTATAAAAGAAACGTTTTAATAACAAATTAATTTACTATGTTATATATAGACCGTCCTAAAATGAACTAATTAAATATTCGATTTCTTACGAGAGATCAGAACTTATTTTCAGTTCACAAAACCATTTAGCGTATTGATTTCTTTTTTGAAAATTATGTATAATGATAAAGATGATACGATTTGACTTATTCGATAAATTTACTCGTATACTCAAATCCCCAATACTCGCGGAAAAAAAGGAATTTTTGCACGTTTTTGATAGAAAATATTAAATGTGCATGTGGAATTTTTTAATCAACAATCATGTGATAGATAATTCTTATTACGTACACCGGCCTGACAAAAGTATCCGGACAAGATCGGCAACCGGGAAAATCAACACCGATTGTAGCACCCATGCATCCAATTTATTATACTTTTACTTTTACTTTATAAATTTTCGATCAATTATTTGCGAAATTTAATTAAAACAGAGTGCTTATTTCAGAAAATATATTTTTTGCTCTTTTTGAAGAATCATTTTTGAATAATGCCTAAAAGATCAGAACTTAAAGATTTTGAATGTGATGAAATCGTTGGTCTATGAAAAGACAAAATCAATAAGTGAAATCAATAAAATATTAAGACACCTAAATTTATAGTTGATAATGTAATAAAAATACAAAAAATCAAGATCAATTCAACATCATATTCTGATAGATCTGAAATATTAAATGATCATATAAAATATATATATATAAATAAATTGATCTATGGCTTATTAAATAAAGCAAGTTTTGCCGATTCTAATTATATAAATTTTATTTCAAAAATATTAGTTGAAGTTAATAAACACAAAAGTTATTAACTTCATTTAAATGAAAATTACAGAGTTTTTATTGGACTAATTTTTATAAAAAAATAATTATAAATTTTGAATTTTTGATTGTGTTATAAATTATATTTAATTATTACTAATCACTTTTAATAATATTTTTGTCAGGCTGATATATAAATAAAAGTAAGTATTTTGATAAAGTTAAAATTAATATTTAAGCTTGATAAAAAATGAATTTTTATTTTAATAAAATATGGACCAGTGCAAAAAGATTGATATATCAATATAAAAATCAATAATTGTTTCTAATAAAAATCATTCAAATTTTAACCAATCTTTATAATTTTTTTATATTAAGTAAAGAACAATCTAAATTAACTTTTTATACTATT